GCGAGGCCACACAAAAACCAAAGCCTCTTTTGGAACCCCTCCGAGGCTGGAGGGTGGCGTTGAGTGGGATGAGGTTGGTGGGTGCGTGCGCAGTTTGTGAACGAGCCATGCTGATTGTAGAAGCATGTCTGAGTGATAAAACCATGCAACTATGCCGCATGTGGCAAGGGAAACATTGGCAGCACAAGTGTTGCCCAGTGCTGCCTATGGGACTGGCATTCATGCCTCACCATACATCTGGCGACGCAAGAAACTAGGAGCGTGCACTTGTTGGAGGAAATCCAACACGTCTATCATCGAGTTGGATAAGTCTGCGTTCAAATGCTGCCGGTGCACGTTCCACAAAGGCACACAAGGGGCGACATCAGCCAAGCTTCTGGAAAAGGCTCAGGTCGTCAGCTGTACATAAACCTGGGTAGTGCAAATCAGGGTGAGCAGATTGAAACCACGGCTATCTTCGGGATGACCAACTGGGCCGTGAAAATAATCCCTATTCCTAATCTACAATGTCGACAATTGGGACGCCGCTACAATCAAGGAACCCACAATCTGGCAGACAAAAATGTAAGGGTTGATGTTGAGCAACCCAGCGACATACGATGGCGTTTCAAGCTCAATGCGTCACGAATCCCCGAGGCTTCTGCACTGGGGTCCAATCTCGCCAACTGTAACCCACTTTCAATCAGGCCACAAGAAAAGCAACCAAGGCGGGGAAGGACTGGACCCGATTTCAGCCCGCTCTGTTTCATGAAAAGTGGGCAATGGGCCGCTCTCTCATATCTCCTGGCCGGCCTGTTGGTGTCCCCAAACTTCCAGCGGTGCCATTTTCACGATGCCCCAACAATCCCTATGAATACTGGCACGGCGAACCACCACCAACTCGTGCGAAGTGGATTTTGTCCATCCACAGAGTTTTTCCTGGCAGGGCCAAGTTCCCCAGAGCGTCTTCGCCGAAAGGCCGCCGCTTCTTTGTGAGGTTCCCTGGTATCGCAACTCGAGGTCTGTGAATCTCAGGGTGAAGCAGGCCCCTGTTTCAGTTTTTGGGCGAGTCTGCTCAGCCACAACACTTAGGATCTTTGGGCAACCCGGCCCGTGGCCGCCAAACCCAGGAACAAAAATACAAGAAACGGGGCCCCGCAAAGTCTGTGCCTTGTGACAACAAAGCAAACATCCAAGCTCCACGCAAGAGCTTGGACAGCGCAACTGCCGCCACCAATTGCCCAGCTGGAACGGCATGTCCATCCGGCCGACCGCCCGCCCTATGCCCTGCTAATCCGAGGGGCAATTTGGCCAGTATACCGCGCCGCCATCCGCCAGCGTGGCAAAGTCGCGTCTCAACTTCTGCGTGTTTTGCACACACGTGGTCTCCCCGATTGCGGCGAGGTCTGCCTTAGGTATGGCCACCTAAGAATAAAGAGTCCAGTATGCCTTTCCCATTCGGGCACCTGTTTGATGTAAAAGAAGGATCCTGAAGAACACAAGCGCCAGGAGTATCATAGGATTCAATTCCTGGTTGGGATAAGCCCCAATTTTCGGGTGTCTCACAGGCTACACCAAAAAGCCAGATTTCATGAGAATCTAAACCGCATCACCGCGGCCTATGGCCCCGGCTGCTGGGCATCCTGTGGCAATTGCTTCCACCAAATCTGCACCTCTGTCCGTTGATCAACCCAATTGCTTAGGAGGTGCTTCCTCCCAAAAGAACGATCCGACCCGACGGGGACCCCTTGAAACATCAAGCCCCACGGAAACTTACCTTACAGGGGAAACCAGGTATTAAAACCACAAAAAAGAAGACCCCTCGCTTCCCAGTGCGAATTTTGGCCTGCGCCCCGCCTTGCTCTGATGGCAAAGCGCCCGTCGGGGCTGGAAGAGCTCCTCTCGAGTTTGGCCAATGCAGCCAAAGCCATGCTCGAAGTAAACAATGAATCTGTACGGGTGCGTCTTAGAACGAGGAAACCACCACTCCCCAATTTAATACCACCAGAAGAGGGCACTCCTCAACAAAAAGACACCTCCCCCTTGTATTTTTTTCTAAAAGTGTGCATCCTTCTCGCAAACGTTGCCCAGACAGGAAGTGGGAGTGGGGCAATCATCCCCCGACCTTAAAAGGGAAGGTGGGGTGGATAGGAACTCGCTAAAGGGTTCTGACCACAACTGAAACATTACCCAAGGAAATGCACGACACTTCCCTGACTCCGCCCACGTCCTGCGCAAACTTGGCCCCCAAGGCAATGGCCTCGGAGGCGCCTTTCGCAGACAGCACCTGGCCTCGCATGCAAAAACTTCCGACCTCGAACCAGGTAACCATTTACCTTCCCACCAACCTGAAGTGAGGGATCTTCATGCATACGGGACTTGCATTGCTCGTTTTACCCCAGCGCGCATCCATGAAATAGGCAGAAGCCGGGATTGTATTGCTCAGCTCCAGCCTCCTTGCAACGCTTGTGTCACTGGCGGCCCCTTTTGAGAGACGACACCCTGACTTGGCTGGTGGATACAAATCCTCATGCAATGATGAAAACCAAAAGGTTCCCAAACTAGCTTCCCAAGCGACAAATCCCCATGCAATGATGAGCAGCCCAAGGTTCCCACACTAGCTTCCCAACCGATGGTGCATCCGGTGTACCCTGCCTCAAGTCAAATATGGAAGCTCCCAGAAGGCCAATGTAAACGGAACTAAGTCTTCCAAAGGGGTCCTGGAGGGTAGATTGATTTGCACCCCCAGGAAACATGAGCAAGTGTGAAAGGGTTGGAAGCATTGTCACATCACTTGAGATAGCACGGGCCCAACCCTGTCACATTTTGCCAGACGTCCCAAAGCAGTATTTCATCAGCCTACTCCAATCAAGTCTTCTTAATAGGTATCGTCTTCCCCACGCTTGTGAACCACGCACATCGAAATGGCAATCTAAGCAGATGGAAAAACATGCGTCAGTGCAGGACGTCGGTGCGAACAGCCCAAACAAATCGATACATATATATATATATGAATATATAAACAAACGGGAAAGCATGTCATGCGGGCCAGAACATATTTACCGTGAGCATGTCGCAAAACAGTATGCATATCTCAAACAAAACGACGTGCGCCTGACTTGTGTGAGCCGTCCAAATGAACCATCCGATAACTTTGATCGTACCTCATTGCCCACATTTCTCTCTCTCCAAATTTTCTCCAAAGTTCGACGCTGGAGCAGCTCAGGATTTTCTTCTTCCCTGGGCGAGTCGGAAGACAACATCTGGCTCGACTTTTCCATGAGATCAAAAAGACTTGGCACCCTTTGCTGGTGCTTGAATTCAACACTGAACCCCCTGAGAGCTTCACTGAACCCCCTGAGAGCTTCATGGCTCCTGTTTCTCCATTCAGTGGCCATAGGGCTGCCTTTGCCTTCTGTTTCCAGCCTTTCAAAGGAGGAGCCCCTACTTCGCAAAGGGTGGGGGGGAGAGGTGAGCAAAGCTTCCCACCCGCGGCATATCAGGTCACCCGAGGGGTATGCCTGCGATATGGCATGTGAACTCATAGGGATGTGCCCATGCACAGGGCAATGCATGTCCTATTGCGGGCTCTCGAAAACTCTAAAGCGACTCCGATTAGGATAAACAGGACAGAATCCGTCAAGTAGAGCTCACATGATTTGTTGCCCCGGATCACCAGGCAAGCATGCTCCATGTTTTTGCATGTCAGCCACCTGCTCCACGTGCAATTGGTTTTGTTGTCCTGACTCACCTTCAGGCGCTTGTGCGGGTCACACGGATCCCTTGCCTGATTGAAATGGTTGCCTGACTTGTCCTAACAAACGCTGAAATGAAAGGCCAACCTTTGGAGTTCAGGACTCAATAAAAAGAGCAAAACCGCAAGATCACCAAAGGCTACCAGTTTAACTGTCAACCGTGTCACAGATCCACTCCGGGGAACCAACCCAGGTGGACTTTCTTCCCCCGTGGCTGGCCGTCTCCCTCGTGCAGAACATCCAAGGTCAATAAGCCTTCACCTGCCTGAAACAAGAAACATCAGGGTCACCAACCTTGGCAATGTCAAAGGCACCGAGAAAGCTTCGTCGGGCCTGAGCTTTCACAAAGCCAAGCGGCGCCTTCGGCGCGGCGGCTGGTGCGATCGGCGCGCCGACCGAATCTCGGCCCCAGCGTCGGCTTGGTTTACCCCAACGCCGCGGCGGATCCATCTGAGGCAATGCCTATGGGATCCTGCTCGGCGTCTGGCTCAGGGGCCCTCGGTCTTGCCTACAGCTAGGCTATCTGTTGCTCAGCTGTTCATTCTGAGGCAATGCAAAAGGAATGCAACTAAACATGAACCCTGCCCAGTTTCAACACTGCAATACGTCAGGCGAGCAAGGAGCTAGGTGCCTGGTGCTTGGGCCAATACGCCATTGTCAGACCTGTGTTATTCAGCATCCAAGGGCTTGGCAGTATGTTGGGCAAACTTTCGAACAGATTCGCCTTGTGAAACTTGCTGACTTTTTGCTAGGGCTTTGCACGCTCAGGATCAACTCGGGAAGATGTGCTGATGGTGGCTGAAGGCTTGCGCGCGCCAGACAGATCTATGTCGCTTTGGACCGAGCTGCAGTCGGGGACACCACAAAGGACAACCCTAAAGCAAACGCCAGGAAACAAATGTCAATCAGACATGAGAATGCATAATAGGGTTTGGCATGATTTTGCGGCTGCTGAACCTTCCATCTGCGTAGCCACTTCTCACTTCCTGTGAAGATACCTCTCTCCCTCCAAAATCCATGGAAGCTGACAGAAGGCTTTGGAAGACAAGTCTTGGGGAAGCCCTTTGTCCACTTGTTCAAAACCCATTGCGGCCTAATCGCATACGCAACTCGAGCTGCAAAGCATGATTCCAAACCTTATGCTGGAGCGTTGAAAATCCATGTAACCCATAATCCGTAGTCCGTAAATCGGAATCCAATGCGAAAACAACCGCATAGACCCTCACAGGCCAAGCCAATTCTCAGCTCAATCCCAGAGCGAGCGGCCGCTCTTGTCAGCGCCTGACGGGGATCAGAGGGCAGTCACCCGCTTCAGGATGATGAGGGCTTTGTTCGGTGGCAAATCCGTTCCCAGGATAGCTCCAAGGGGTTTTGTTTTTCGCCCTGGGTTGGGTCTTGGAGAACATCATGTTATTTTTGCCCATTTTGGGCCATTTCCCAAGGGTGTAATCCCAGGGTGTAATACAACAACCCTTAGAAGGATAGCCTGTTCAGAACTGGGGCAGTTTGGGCTCACTACCATAGCTCACCCAAATCATTCCATCTTGGCAGGATCGGAGCAAGGCGAAGACACTTGCAAGTAGGAGCTGTGGTGTTTATCGCAAGTCTTGCACCACAAGAATAAATTAAAGGGCCAGCAACTGTCTAAGAAGCTGCTGAGTTTCCCAGTGGCATATGAGTATATACAAGTCGTTTTCTTGGGCCCATGCCTCTACGAAAAAAAAGTGGCGCCAAGAGATCCATGTGTTGATTTTCCTGGGAGAAGAAACTTGGCCTGTCTTCCTCTTAGGCCGAGCCTCTTTTTGCTTGGTGACGAGTGTCTCAAAAATGCCTCTGTCAATCCCAAGCCGGCCTGCGAGCCAACATTGCTACAGTCAGGATTTCGCAATTCAGAGAATGAACAAGCGACCCTACAAAATCCATCACGCCAACGGCGAGAGCTCTCCAAGAAGACGAAACGAGAGGCAACACCTATGCACAAATAAAAGCAAGACCCCCCTACCAAAAACATTACGATGTCTTTCATCCTTATAGCCGACGTCTTTGCATCTGACAGCTATGATGTACGCGGCCAACGGTATCACAACGGCAAATATGGACCACTCAGCTTGGCCCTTTTGGGGCCTCTTCAAACCTCCAACCCAATCCAAACCACCGAAGGAGTACCTGAAACACTGTGCTTCCTGCAGTTACTTTCCGAAACACCTGCGTCGGCACTCCAAACAAACTCCCGTCTGGCTGAACATGAGTTTGCTCGTTGAAAACCTTGGCAACTGCCATCTACAAAAACCAACTCCTGGGAAGGGGGTGTGCGGGCGCTGCGTTTCTCCATCTCTGGACCCGCAAAGTTGACAAGGGGTCAGCAACTGGCAGGCGCTTGGAATAGCGTGTGGCCTAAAGCAAGGCAACCAGGAGCCTTTGAGAGGTTCCCAGTTTCACCCAAACCACATTTTCTGACGCAGATTGCTGTCCTGATGCGCCTGATGGAAGCTTCCTTTCCAAGCGTGCAAAAGGCAGCAGTTTCGTTTGACCGTGGCAGATGAACCAACAAAAATTGCCCAACCAGTCGGGAAACAGGAGTCGGAGTGTAGCGAGTGCTTGGCTATACATTTTACTAGGGCCCCAAGTTGGACAATCCTCAAAGTCCACTTCGCGGAAGCTTCTTGGACTTCACGTCCTGTTTCTTCCTCCAATCGACCCATCCGACCCATCCGATCCGACCTGCGCGGAAGCCGCAGCGCAGGGCGATGGGACGAAAGGTCTGGGTGTCAAAAAGCCGCTCCATGGCCAGCACCTCAGCCCAAAGGCCCAAAGGGACTGGCGGGCCAGAAAGTGGTGCTGGGAACTCTCACGATGTCTTCCCTTGGGACCCGCACCAGGGTCCTTCTTGATTTTGATCTTGGAACTTCATGGAACTTCGGCCAAAGGCCTGCTTTTCCAGGGTCCTGGAAGATCAAGGATGTCTTTTGACATGTGACAGTTGTAAGGGTTTCGTGAGAAGAAAATAGGAAACAGATCGGGAAGATTTGAGATTTGAGATCAAAGTTAGAAACAAATGGGTCGATTCTGTTTGACCTGCCACTTAGGGACTTCCGGGATGCCTTTGACAGTGGTAGAGTCATGGGCCCAAATACCGAATTGAACCAATTCACCGGGCGTTTGTGTTGATTGATGGCCAGGAATCGCGAGTACTGTCTTTGGGATGGTGTGAACGGGAAAGCAAAGGCAAGCCATAAGAATCGATTGTTCAATCGAGAATCCCTTCGTGGACATCAGATGAACCAAAAAAACATCCCCTGTCCAATGCACATAAACTCCTGTCACATAGACTGCAAATACATAGTAAACATGTATAACATATAGATATACATATTTGTATGTATGCATATATGCCATCGCGTGCAGTAACTCATGACAGTTGGGTGATTAGGGGAGATTGTGAGTTGAAAGGTTTCCAGTTCCTGGGAAACATCGTCGAACAGCGATGCCTTTATCACGGCCTTTTGCAATGTTTGCTTTCTGGGTATACGCCATTTCATATAGACACGAGCAAAGCTATTCCTTTCGCCCTGCATTCTGCTCAGCGGTGAGCTATAGGCAGCTCCCAACTCGAGAAACTGTTTGGCGCGGAGCAATGGCACCAAAAACCACCCGCAAAGTTTAGACGTCCAAAACCGTCCAAAGCCTGAAAGGGACTGAAGTACAGGACGTACATGGACCACAGAAAATCCGAAACACCGTTCCCCGTGCTGCCCTGCGGAAGTTCAGACCCAACAAATCTGCCCGGCGGCCTCAAAGAGAGAAGAGTCGCCCCCTTGCAACGCTGCCGTTTTGGTGCAGACACTATCGAAACAGGGCAAGCAACCAGTAAGGGATTTCCTCGCCTCCCCCAAATGGTGTGCCGTCTTGCCATGTCTGTTCAATCAATCTCAGCCCTCTCGTCATGAGGCCTGTCAGGCGAAGTGCCTGCGTTAAACTTGTGCAATTCATTTGAAAGGAGCGCACTCAAGCAAACATCTGCGCCTGTGCATTAACCGTACTTCACCATCCTGAAATTGGGACCTCTTTTCCAGGACGCATTTTCAGCCCAGCTTCCTCTCTTCTGCAAAATGTTTCGGAAAAACACACACGGAAAAAAGACCCTAAGATTTCGGCCGACCTCCTGGTTCCCGCCTGAGGGTGGTTCTCAAAATAGCTCAGCTCGCTCCAGCGCTCGTTGCGCCAACCGAAGCTCTGAACTGCTTCAACAGGGAGGATGAAGGGCCTGCGCAACAACCCCCTTTTCATTTCCCAGAGGCTCTCGATCAATTTCGGGCCCTCCAGCCAGGTTTTGAGGGCCCCAAACACCTGCGGGGTGCCTAATGGACGGATCTTCCATTGAAAGATTGAGGAGCCTCTGGGTTACCAGGTTCATCCACGTTCCATTCGACAGCAACAATTTGCCACCGGCCTCCTGCCGAGAGCGAAGGTCTCGAAATCAGGCGCTGGTATGCGCGGCAAGCTCTGCCAGCCTGCGATAGATCCAAGCTATGGGCGTGCTCTTGATGTTCTCGTGAAAGCTGGGGAACCAAGGGAGCACAAAATAGGGGAGCAATGGGTAGTTTCCTTTTGGGTTTCCTCTAAAACCATCCCAAAAGAAGGGTGCCCGCAAAAATCACACACACACAAAATCTGGCATAGCTAAGGGTGATGCTGCGCGTGTTGGTGCTGCCGGGGATGTGAAAAGCCAAAGCCACAAAAGACGCAAAAAGCCACACAAACCCTGTAAATGCCAAATAGCCAGCCCGACAAAACAACACACGCCCTGAGGAAAACAACAAACAATCCTTCCTAGTCGACTGACCCGAAAAGATTAAAACAAAAAGAAAAGCTTACCAATATATAACATGCTCCTCCAACTTGTGAACAATCCGCAAAATTCAAGTTGTGCTTTCTTCGGCCTTGGGCGGGCAACGCTATCCTAAAACAAGTCACATGGAAAGCGGAATCCCCTGTTCATAGTCTCGAGTAGCCCAGCTCCCAAGGCTGTGTCTGCTTCCCTCCCTTCCCAAGCTGCGGTTTTAGTGCCTTCCATGTCTGAGAGCGGACCTTGACTTGAGGTGCCACAGGGGCCGGAATCGCCCCGTCCAAAACTGGATTGTTCCCACTGTAGATGGACATCCTGCACCAGTTGGTCGCAGGGTTTGTGCATCCACCAGTTTGGGCAGTGCGAACGTGGGCCTCCAGTGCGACAGGCATCCCATTGAAGTCCTGAATTTTCAGGCGCGCGAGACGTCACCGAAGCTCGAGCGTCCCTCCCTGCAGGCCTGGGCCTTCAAACGGCCCCAACGCTGGAGGTGCTTCCGAATCCCATAGGTGGCCTTTTGGAAAAATCGATGGCGCTGGTAAATGGAACCAAACCCATCTAAACCAGTCCAATCTATTTTTAACCAGGCTCACCTAAAAAAGGACATCTATGTTCCTTCCTCTGAACATTGAGCGTCTGGCCACGGTGGAAGCTTCGAGCGACAGGGAGAATCTGAGAACATGAGTGGGCCGGGCGGCGGCGGTTTTGGGGGATCGCACAAGTGGGGCTTTCCCGGGCAATTTCGTGCAGTTGTTCTATTATTTTGGCGCGCACCCTCTCAGCACATCCGGGTTGCTTTGCATTGAAACTGCCTGAAACTGCCCCCGAAATCAAAGCCCTGCGGCGTCCCCCTCTGCTGGCTGCGCTTAGACCCAGGACTGACACAGAAAGTTGGGGACCGGGCGGTGTTTGCACAGTCTGATGTTCCTGCGTGTGCTAAAGCAGTTGGTTGACTTTGTTGTTGGATGGCACCAGGCTTGCTCCGAAATCAAAGGCCGTGCAGTTCACATAGTCCACGCAGGATACAGACAAGCAGGCACACCACCAATTGGTGGAACAGCGAAGGATCGTTGCGCATATGGTCTGGGTGTCTGTTTTCCAGGGTACCTTGTTTGGGGTTCGTCCAAAGGAAAACTAAAGGTAAGCCACTCGTTAGATCATAAGACACACCCAATATGACTGCACTGCCCCTTCATTGCCCACACGTCGCAAGCTGTGGGCATGTTCTCTCGCCAAGGCTCATCTAAAAAAAAAACGGCCGGAAGTGACGGATTTCATGCACCGCCTTTGCAGGGGTCGAAGCATGCAATACCTCAGTGGGTTTATGTCCAAAGTACCTATGGTCTTCAAGTACAAGTTCTGCCTCGGGCCCGTGGCAATTGCCTTCCGTGTGTTGGAAACCAAACCCCACAAGGAGGAT